GAAGGAAGGAAGGAAGAAAGAAAGAAAGAAAGAAAGAAAGAAAGAAAGAAAGAAAGAAAGAAAGAAAGAAAGGAAAGACACATAGACATAGATATCCGAATTCAAGGCTGCCATCCCTCATACAAAATGGATTAGTATTTGTATCTTCCTTCCTTCCTTCCTTCCTTCCTTCCTTCCTTCCTTCCTTCCTTCCTTCCTTCCTTCCTTTCTCCCAGGACCTCTCAGGTGCTAGGCAAGCCCTCTACCACTCAACTACACTCCCAGTCCAACTTTTTTTTTTATTAATAAAGTTTATTAGTACATTTTAAAGCTGTATAATGATACTTTAAATCATTTCTAGGTTATTTATGGTACCCAAATAATGTAAATGCTACCTCAATAGTTGTTATTCTTTATGTTTAGGGATCAATGACAAGAAGAGTCCACACATGTTCAGTACAGATGCAATATTTTTCTAATAATTTTGGCCACTTCTGGAGAATTCTGAGTATCTGCAGAACACGATAGGCACTTGGTGCCCTGCGTGACGGGCCCTTGGGAAGCCCAAGCAGTGCCCTGGGCCCCTGCCAGCAGAGACGCCTTACCTGTGATGGTGACGCTTCCCATGTCCACGCTCAGGTTTGAGAAGGCATTCCTCACCCGCACGGTGACCAGAAAGGTGCCTATAACACAAGGCACAGGGCGCGGTTACGGTGTCCTCGTGACAGCTGGCCCTGCGTGGCTTGCCCAGTGTACCCAGAGGGTGTAACCTGAAGCCCTCCTAGCGTTTTGTGAGCCAGGCACGGGGCAAGTCCTGGGGACACAGAAGCGGGGCCCCTGTCCTCAAGAGCCTTAGTGTCGAGGAGACACGTGGACAGGACGTGCCGACCCACTGCAGCAGCTGGCACGGGGCACCTCAACATCAGGAGGCAAAGACATGGTTCATGAGATGGAACCAGAACGGGAGCTGAACAGGAAGGAACAGGTGCTCGTGAGCGGGCACTGGCGGGAGGCACTGCCCGCCTCGGAGCTGTGGTCCAGCAGGGGCGCTAGAAGCTCCTACGGGAGGTAGCTTTGAGCATGTGGCCCACTGCGAGACCAGGCCACGTGCAAATGTCCCACCCATCCCCCCCTCCCCCCAATGGGGGGAGCGCTAGTCTGCTGGTTGTAGGGGGGAGTATGCTAATCACCCAGAGCAAGATAGGCTCCGGAGATAGCTCAGCCTTCTAAGCACCTGCCTGGTAAGCGCAAGGACTGGGGTTCTATCCCTGGTACCACACACGGCACTGGGCCCACCCCGGGCATGCCATGTGTGCCACCAAAACTGGGCATGGTGGCGCACACCTGTAATCCCAGTGCTGGGGAGGCTGCAACAGGAGGGTCACTACAAGTCCAAGCTGCGTAGTGAGTCTCTGAACCAAATATATAAAGAAATAAAAGTTTTTTAAAAAAAAAAAGTGCGGGAAAGGCAGCGCTTTGTCCTCAGTGAGGGCTAAGCCTCCTAACCAGTAACCTCCACAGCAGCGGCGGTGGGGCACAGTCTCCGCGCTATGTTCCAGCTCCTGCAAACTGGATTCTGCCAGCTCCAAGCTGGAGTTCCAGTGTTTTCTCCAGTTTAGCATCCCTGCTGCCAACCTTTGCCAGGTACCTGGCAGAGTATCACCCTGTCCTTTCCTGGCACAGCTCTGAGATCATCTGCAGGGAAGGGTCCCGGAGGGCAGGACTCTTCAGGGCTTCCGGTCTGCTGAGTGCATCAGGCGCCTCCAGGGCGCCCAGCTCTTCGCGATGGATGGCCGATGTGTGCCACGCCCTCCCCTGTGGTGCCCGCCCATCTGTCCTCAGCCGCATCCTGACTCCCCTCGCCCCTGCCCCCCTCTTTCCCCCACCTTTCAGTTTTACGAACCCCCCCGCCCCCGCGCTGTAATTTCCGGTGCCATACTCTCGCCTGGCCATGTTGGAGGATTCCTGAATACACCTGCTCCCTTCCAGTGGTTCCTGGAGGGCCACGTGTTTCAGGGAACCTTTGGCTGTGTCTGGAGCCGTTTTGGCTATCATGATTGGGGCACTTGTGTTACTAACTTCCCCTGGTGGAGGCCAGGTATGAGGCTGAATACTGTGCAGCGTGCACGCGGCTGCTGACTATAACCACGGGTGCTCAGCACCACGCACAAGTGTAAGCTGAGAAGCCCTGTGGCTTGGCAACCCTACTTGGAGACCAGAACACAGCACCCCAATCAGAAAGGCGAGAGGCGGGAGGTTTGCAAGGGCAGCTACCAACCCCAAGTACCTTCAAAGGGAATGGCCACCTGGTAAGTCCCAGATGGCTCTCCGGAGCTCTCTTCCTCTTGGGAGAAGTTGGCACTGAGACCGGTCACCTCGAAGGTCAGCCCCTCCAGGGTGCCGTGAGCCACAGAGACGTTGATCAACAGGTCCTGTCCATGCTCCACGCAGGTGGAGACCCAGGAGGCCTGCAGCCCTGACAGCCACTCCATGAGATGGACAGTGAGGCTCTGGGAAGCTGCGGAGGCTGAGCTGTCACTTTGTGCTCGGATCTGCAGGAGGTGCTGCCCAGGGCCCAGCAGCCGCTGGGCGTCTCCATCCAGGGTCAGGTTGTAGGGCAGCGAGCCCTGCTGGGTGGTGGATTCAGCCAGGGTTGTGTTACCCACGAGCACACTGTAAGTCATCCCCATTCCTAGATGGGCTAAGAACAACGGAAGAGTGTTGTGACAGCCATGAAGTTGGTCATTCTGCGATGGCTCAGAATCAAGTTCTGGTGTCAGGTAGACATTGATATAAAGAAATAGGGAAGGGTAGGTGGCCACCCCCACGTGCACACTGCTGCTCCCTGAGTTCTTTTTTTTTTTTTTTTTTTTTTTGCGGAACCAGGGATTGAACTCAGGCCTTTACGCTTGCCAGGGAAGCGCTTATTCTACTGAGGTGGAATCAGCCCCCTAGATCCCTGAGTTCTGAGTTAAGGAGTGGTGTTTTTTCTTTTTGTGTCCTTTCTGCTCATTTATATATCCTGTTTATTTACATATACTATGCATATGTTACCAGCTTGGACTTAGCAGCATTTGGTTTTAGTGGTCTGTGTGTGTGTGTGTGTGTGTGTGTGTGTGTGTGTGTGTGCACCTGTGTGTTTGTGTCTGTGTGTGTGTGTGTCTTTCCCATACTGGGGTTGAATCCACAGCCTTTGCACACAGCTGCTTCCCAGCCCTTTGTTTTATTTTCTTTTTCTTTTTTCCATAATTTCATTGAGAAACAAATAGCAATGAGACAGTTTCAAATCAAATTGGTAGGACAATTTCAATAATTAACACATTGCATACATTCTTCCTAGTGGTTAATTGCTGTACAAGATGTGGACATGATATCCTGTTTACAAACACCATTAGAACAAATCCCTCTATTCACTAAGAGAATGTAACTATATCTATCCTAACCACTTTGAATACACAGATACAAAATGGACATTCATCTGTATCCCCTTTTTTTGTTAAGTTCCGTTATTTGAATATTATAGGTGTGTAAGCTCAGCAAAATATTCTAAAAGAGTCCAGTAGCCCATAATAGTATTGGGTCTTCCGCTTCACTGGCAATGTCAGAAATTGTTGACCTGAGTCCCCTACAGCTCAACATAACACCATGGCTTTACTTCTTATATTTCGTTTTTATACTTTTCTGCTGGATGGTTAAGATCAAGATAAAGCAAGACCTATGCAACAAGAATGGTAGCTTTTGGGTCTGATAAGGTCAGTGAAATCCCCTCAGAATTTATCCTGAGATCCTGTACCTCAGGTTGTAGAACCTTTTTCAGGGTCAGCCATGTGGTTGAGTCACCCTTTGTTTTACTTTATTTATTTTTTATTTTTTAATTTTGAGCTTGAGTCTTACAAAGTCACCAAGCTGCCCAGGGTGGGCTAGAACTTTTGATTCTTAGCCTCAGTGTTCTAGAATTCTGGGCTTTCAGCTGAACCTAGAAGTTTTTGACAAAAAACACTAGAGCCTTTTGTTGATAGTGGTATCCTTGTGGGAAGACGAGAAACAGTGAGCCACAAGCTGAGGGCTGACATGTTGCATGAACAGGTGCCGCCAGGCTTGTTCTGGGCGGGAGCTGGGCATTTCCTTCCACCCTCTGCTTGCCCCACTGCCTGCCTGGATCTGCCCACGAGGAGCTCCACCTGCGCTCCAAAGGGGGCGCCTCATGTACAGTCGGCAAGGGTTGACCTAATGGGATGCTAGATGTTACACTAACAGGTTAGGATTCTTTTCAACAGAGGCCAAGCTACCGTTTTATTTGATGACGGTGATGGTTGTGGTTGTGGTGACGGTGGTGGTTGTGGTGGTTGTGGCAGTTACATAAGCCCCAGCAGAGCCCGACTCTTACCTTTCACGTTTACTATTGTGTGCCTACACCTGGCAAAGTGTTGGTGCTCAATTATAATCATAGAATGAATACAAGAAGCATTATTTTAGGCTTTCCCAAGTGCATGTCTCAACCAACTTGTGCCAACAAGCCCACAACAGAAAGGACTCCCAAGAGCCCTAGGTCAAAGCCCGTGATAGTGCCATCACATTAGTGCCAGAGCAGGGCTCCAGGTGGTGAGCAAGGTCCCACTGAGTCCCTGGTTACATCAACAGGCCCCATCGAGGTCTCTGTACCTCATCAAAAGATACTTCCTGGGCTAAGGTCACAGCATAGACAGTCTCCATTGGGAGGATGGGTGATATTTAAAATAGCACTTGAAATTGTGTGAGCACTAACCAATCAGAATGGATCTCTGAGGGGCCAGATGGATACTGTGGCCAATCAAAATGAATTCCATGACAAATTAGTATGGATGCCATGACCAATCAGAATGAATGCTGTGACCAACCAGAAAAGACACCATGACCAATCAGAATAGACACCTTGACCAATCAAAAGAGATACAATAATGAATCAGAATGCTTCTGTGATACTGTGACCAATCAGAATAGCCCCTAGTCTTGAGAGCAGATGTGGAGGACCTGGGTGTATAGCTGAACATTAATCCTGACTGAGGGCAACATGGCCTCTTGAGATAGGGCTCTGAGCATTCAAGGCAGGGCTTGGGCAGTGTGCAGCTCCCACACTGGCTTGCCGGCCTGTGACTTAGGGGACATTCCCAAACCTCTCCGAGCCAGCATTTCTTTATCCTTGACATGGAGACAGTGCTAGTGTGTACTGAGTGGGCTAACGCAGGAAATGCACTTAGGGTGGAGCGCCGTACACAGAGGTGCTAAAGTAATGATAGCTAGGAAACCAACGACCAGGGACATGGTGCTCACCTGTCATCCCAGCACTAGGGAGGCTGAGGCAGGAGGATCGCCCTGAGTTCAGGGCCAGCCTGGGCCACATAGTGAGTCTGAGGCCAACCTGAACTGCATAGCTACACTTTGTCTCAAATGAGATAAAACCAAAAATAACTAACTCAATACATCATCAGTGTTATTAATTATTAAATCTTGGCTGTTAGCTGGGTAGACTGTGGAAATCAAGAGCTCCACAGTTTGCCTCTGCCGGCCGGATTCTGCAGACTCACCTGCATCGAGCTCCACCTGGATCCACAGAGGGTCCCCAAAGACAGCCTTGCAGAGAGGGCCAGCCCCTGACCTGGCCAGGCCGGGGCACCCGGAGACACTGAGGCTCTGTCTCTTGTCCCGCAGAGTCACCCGCTTCTGAGCTGTCACATGCCACTCGCTGGTCGTGCACTCAGCAAACACGGTGAACTCTCCCGGGGATGTGAACTGGTGGCTCACAGTGCTAGACAAGCTGCCGGCCACAGTCACAATCATTAGCAGTGCTGGGGACCCAACCCACATTTGCACATGCATTCGCACACACATTTGCACACGCACTCATACCTCCCCTGCTCTGCAGAGGTTGAAAGTGGAGAGAAGATGCTGCCTGCCCAGCCCGGCTCTCAGTGTTGGGGGAGAGCTTCCCTTCAGATGTCTTGGAGCAGAAGACAGGTAGAAAGACCTCTGGTCAGCAGGAAGGTGGCTACCGGCCAAAAGTTCCTGTTCTGCCATTTCTCCCTTAGAGCTCACTCCTGCCCCTGCCCCCGCCCTGGGCCTTCCTGCTCATCTGTGAAATACTGTACCCCAGACTAAATTTCTCTGCCTAATTTTCCCATCCGTGAGATGGAATCAGGTACTAGACATATCAAAGTAGTGTTTGTTTGTTTGTTTTTGGGACACAGTCTCACTCTGTGCTCCAGGCTGGCCTAGATCTCACTATGTAGCACAGGCTGGCTTTGAACTCATGATGAGTTCCTCAGCCTTCCCGGTGCTGGCATTACGGGTGTGCACCACCATGTCCAGTTTATTTTGTTTTATAATCTCCTTCACTATCTCTTAGGTTTGACCCAAGAGTATCCTGCATTATGAGATGTTCAGTGCGTAAGGACAGCAAAAATCCCCGGAGGAGGCCCATCTGCATAGGCAGAGGGGGACCCGGGAGCCTAGAGGCCAGGCAGGCTCCAGTTTTGCTGTGTTTCTCTTTCCTCTCCTGGCCTGGCCCAAGCTGTCCCCTCTCCCAGAGGTGCACTGGAGGAGAGGGTGACACAGACATCTCCACCCCAGGACAGAGCCCATCTCTCTGTCCAGGGCAGACACAAAGAGGGACACTAGCTGGAAAATGCAGGGATGAGTGCTGTAGAGGAGGGGACACTCTGAGTCGGTGAACGCCACACGCTCCTCCAGAGCAACACACGCAGCAAGGCCCTAGCAGCAGCACGGACTTCGGGAGCTGAGCTCCGGCTCCAAGCCTGGTGAGCCTGGGCCACAGCCCAAGGGCCGCACACGGTGATGCCTGCTCGGTCGTGGAAGGCGGGACAGGTGCTACCTGGCTGACCGCCTGGCCACACAGACACATTTAAAAATCAACTCACAATCTTAGAATTGCCAACACGAACTCTAGAGCCAGCAAAAAATAGCTTCTAAGAATTAAGGCAAGAAAGAAAGATATTCTCAGGAAAACTAAGAGAATTTGCTGCTAGAAAATGTATGGGGCTGGGGAGATAGCTCAGTAGAATAAGTGCTTGCCTGGCAAGCGCAAGGGACTGAGTTCAATCCCCGGTTCTGCAAAAAACAAAAACCAACCAAACAAACAAAACCTTTAGGGCCGGGGAGATGGCTCAGTAGGGTAAGCACTTGACTGGCAAACGCAAGGATCTGAGTTCAATCCCCAGTTCCGCCAAAAAAAAGAAAAAAAAAAAAAAAAAAGTATGGGGATGGGGGCAGGGACAAAACCAGTGGGGAAAAAATATATAAAAAAAATAGGACTAATGGAAGTTGGAAAGCGGAAAGGAAAGAATACCAGAGCTACCCGGAACTTCAACAATGAAGAAGCACAAGAAATGGGAACCATCTGGGCCAATGTTCAGACTCTCTTTCTCCTCCCAAATTCTTTGAAGCGCATGGCTGTGGAGAAGCGTTTTCAGATAACAATTCTAAAGGAGAGTGTGCAGAGATCCCTCTGGAG